TTCTTTGGTGTGATGATATGTATGGGTGTTGATCACAAATCAGCAGTCAACAATTATTGGTCGAGTGACCCCTTTCTGCAGAATATGGGAATTGCATCAGTAATGACTCGGGCCAGATTTCAAATGCTAATGCGTTATTTCCATTTAGCTGATCCAGTAAATGACCCATGGCGAGATCCTGACATTGAACGTCGTCGTCAACGATCAGAGGCCGACCCGTTGTATAAACCCAACCCCAGGCTGAAATCTCTACTCGAAAATTGCCAGCGATACTACCAGATGGGACAGGAAATTTCGATTGATGAGGGTATGGTTAGATTCAAGGGAAAGTACAAGTTTAAGCAGAGATTGCCCCACAAACCCGACCGTGATGGCTTCATAATATGGCAGGTGTGCGACTCGACAACGTCTTACATTGCAAACTTTGAACCATATTTGGGGGTGAAATATAAAAACTACAAATGAGGGGAGAAGGAAAGAAACTGGGACAATCAAGAAGACAACACACCGGTTGCTACAGCCCTTCACAAAAAAAAAACCATATACTTTTCTGTGATTCGCTTTTTACGTCAGTTAACACAGCCCTTGAATTACAAGACAAGAAAGTGTAAATGGTCGGTAGTTTTAGCAGACGAAATCGGAAAACCATGCCGCCACAAATAATTCCTGAGGGGAAAAGCAAGAAGCTGAAATTGACAAGTCATTGTCAATGACACGTCCCCGTTCCGTTCATATTTGAGTGACGTATACATTCAAAGCAGATCATGACCGAAATGCACCTGCATATGTACAACACATTGTGCTAAATCTGAACAAAATCCATCCATGCATGACTGAGATCCGGTTCTGGAATTGTGAAAATACGTGATTTTGATGCATTTTTGGCCTTAAAATGGCCATCATTCCGCTATTGTTAAGCAGATCATGAAACAAAGGCACATATCTATTTGTGACATGATGTACCATGTGTGTGTGAAGTTTGAACTTGATCAATCCAGACATGTCTTGGATACGGATCCAGAACTGAATTCTTTAACAAAATGGCCGCCAGTCAGCCATTTCGAACTTGATCCGAAAAAAAAAAAGACGTGCATCAAGGTCCTATTATGTTTAATGTATGTACCAAATTTGAACAAAATCCATCCATGCATAACTGAGATACGGGTCCGGATGGTGAAAA